GGTGCTAGGCAGGAAGAAGGAAAGGCCACCTTCTGGAAGAGGCCCTGAGAGCAGTGGGTTCCTGACTTTCAGGTGCAGTCACCTGAGAAGTTGAGGTGGGGCCCAGGAATGTGCATTTTAACAAGCTCCCAAGCTGATCTTGACAAAGCAGTCCAAGGCTAGACTGTGGGAGACCTATTTCAATGACCCCTGCTGGGTGGGCTGGGGTCCAGGCCTGCTCGTCACCTGTGGCACTTCACCAGCCCCATGTCCTCAGGCCCTGATAGAGATGTACCCCTCCAGAGGAATCTGCCCTGCCATCCACTCCCCTCTCTCCAACTCCTGCAATGGCTTCATCCACACATGCACACGGAGCTCTACAGACCAATGGGCCCTGCCTGCAAGATGCTGACACCCACTCACCCTTCAGTCTTAGTCCCTCAGCTCAAGGAGAAACCAATTTAGGAGAGGAGATCCTGGACGGTCAGAAGCTGACAGCCTTTCAAAGAGGCATAGTGGGGCCTCCTTTTCAATTACCAGCCTTCCGGGGCCAGCCCTGCCATCTCTGGGCAGCAGCTCTGGCTCCTCTGTCCAAAGACACCGGCCTTTCCCCTTCCCCTCACCTCAGTGATAAACAGGATGCACTCCAGGAACATGTAGTCCTTGTGGTTCTCATTTACGGCCTTCTCATCGACAAAGTGCCTGGGCTCCAGATACGGGTGATCTGGGAACGGCAAAGAGCCCTGGGGTTCAGAACCAGGCGTTCATACCACTGGGTGCCTCAGCCCATGCAATCCACCCCCCCCCCCAGGGCCACAGTGCTGCCTGTGTGCCAAGCACTGGACCTCACAGGAGCAATAAACAGCCTGTGCCTGTGTATATCCCAGTGTAATAAGCTCCGTTCTGCTTCTCTCTAGCCATGGGCTCGGTTCCCTTGTCTGAGCAACGGGATAAACAGCACCTCCCTTGTGGGGCTGCTGAGTACTGCCTGACAGTCGTGAGCACAAGGCAGTCAGCACGGTCCCAGGCTCAGTGAGGACTCAGGGAGCTGGTCTACCTGAAGCATGTAGAGAGCACGGCAGAGTGCCTACTCAACAAGTGGTCACTTGTTATTCTGTGGGCAGTTAAACCTACGTTGAAACAGAAGTTATCACCGCACCCTCCCCAATTCTGCTTACCCATGGGGAAGAGGGGGTCCACCAGAGTGGGCCCAGAGCAAGCGGCCCCTCCCAGCACCTGGGGGCAGCTCCCCAATGGGCGCCTTGCACACAGCTCAATAATGACAATGGAAGACATTGGTCACTGAGTCAAAGAGCCCCTGATTTTCAACATAAAGCCCGTAGCTGCTGCCAAGCGCTGGGGCACATTTCACCCCAGTCTATTATGTGCCAGGCGAGGGCCACTGCTCCAGCCCACGTCATTCTCCATTATCTGGGTGGAACCCACCTCCACCCCCCAGCCTGCCACACTGCTGTGCAGCAGAGGTCGACAGCAAGCAGTCACCATCAATAGCCGGTCTAATGCCTGCTTTACAAAATGTCACTGTCTGGACAGGAAGAGGAGAAGGAGGAGGGACGGATAGAGGAGAGCTGGGGGGGAGGGACACAGAACACACTCTGGGGAGTGGAGGTGTACATGCCCCCTTCAGTACCTATCAGCTGCGAACTGCCCCAGATGAAAGGCAGAAACTGGAAGTCATCCAGGCCCCACACTCCCTGGCTGCCTGCAGGCTCCATCCTGTATGTTTTCTGGAGTTTCCGCATCACCTCAAGGTACCTACACAGGAGGATGGGGAAAAGAGGGGACATAGCAGAAGCAAAAGGACAGTCTCCACCCTTCTGCCACTGGGAGCTCACAGAGGCCAGAAATAACCACCTGAGAGTGTAACTGGTCTCTGTTTCCGTGAAGACCTACATGCACAACTTATGATCAGCCGGTACTCTCAAAATAATGTACCTTTATTATTTTTCTCCCACACTCTGCCTCCTTTTAGCCCATGAAAGGGGCAAAACACCTCCTGGGAAAGGGAGTTAGCATCATCAACTCCTGACAATGTGAAGTTCCTGGGCAGGAGACTCAGCTCTCTAACTTCGCTTGCCAGTGTTGTCAGTGGCTGCATCCGAGTTACCCTGGCGCTCCTGCATCAGACACTGCTGAAGCAGGGCCCAGAACGGCACTGTCAGTGCTCGAGCGACTGAGACACACCTGTGCTCCTGGGCAGTGGTTTGCGTGGTGAGGGGCGCAGGTCAAAGCCTGTCTGGGTTCACCTGGCTGTGTGACCTCAGTGAACAGACCCCATTTCTCTGCCTCAGTGTCCTCATCTATAAAATGGAAATAACAGTTGCTACTCCCTAGGGTTATTGTGAGAATCAGTTATGTGCTGCTGAACGACGGATACATTCTGAGAAATGCACCATTGAGGATTTTGTAGCTGTGCAAACATCCCGGAGTACACTCAGACAAACCTACCGTGAGCTGTGTGCGCAGCGCCTGGCTGTGCCTCCACATGGTGAGCACCACGGAAGCATTGGCGATCATTATGTGACATTTTTCCCTCAGTTTTTACTTGAATCTGAACCTGCTGGAAGTAGTAGTCTTAGGCAGCCTGTCTGCATCAGAGCTCAAAGAGGACAGGACAAGAGAACCGACAGGCACTCTGGACAGCCTGCTAGTATTGTCCTCAGTCTGACAGTGACAAGGTGAGAGACCCCCTCGCTCCATCTCCCACAGCAGTCACCCCTCCTGCCCTCTTCTCACTCACCGATTGAACACCTTAAAGACAATAGCTATCTGGTCATCCACCCGGAGCACCCCAATCTTGCAGAGGCAGCAGAGGAAAGCAGCAAAGGCTGCTTCATGTCCTGGGGGAGTAAAAACAGCCAAGGTTGACAGTCTTCCAAAAAGAGGAGTGGGGTCGTTCTTGGTCTCACTAGTGTCTAAATCACTATTGACTACCCTCCAAGGAAGGAGGTCGCATGGAGACAACAGGGTCTCTTCCCTATGCAGAAAAACCAAGGCCCTCTAAGAACCACCTGTACTGTAATTCTACTCTTAACGGGCCCAGGCTATTAACTTCTTAAACAGGCCTTTATGTTTTATCTTGTAAACTGAACTCACTCACTAATTCCACCCGATTCACTGAGCACCTGCTATGGGGGCAGTCCCTGTCCATGTCTGACAGTTATGACAGGCATTAAATACACAACCACTTCTATGACTCTAGCTCTGAAGGGCACGGTGCAAACTGTCACAGGGAGGCCCTGACATAAGGGCTCAAGGAGGCTTCCCTAGGGAAACACTGTTTCCTCTGAAATCTGAAAGAGCAGTAAGAATTGGCAAGGCATGGGGGTGAGGAAAGCAATAGGAGCATTCTAGCCAGAAGAATAGCATGTGCAAAGGCCGTGAGGCAAGGAAAAATCTCACATGTTTGAAGAGCCCTAGGAAGGCCAGTATGGCTAAAGCAGAGAGCAAGGGAGAAAGGGTAATGTGACGAGGCTAAGATCAGAGAGGCCTTAAAAGCTGTAGTAAAAAGCTCAGATTTTACCCTCGAGTAATGGGGAGCCACTGAAGGCTTCTAAGGGTCACATTCTAAGCATGATCACATTATAGGGTCCAAAGGCACCCTTCTTCCTTTCCCAGGCATGTCAAACAGGAATGGTCAGCAGTTTAGAAAACACTGGTTGGCCTGTGGACCAATTCCACGGTTCACGGTCACAGGAAACACATCTGGAGGGAGGTGAAGGAGTATTTCCGTGACTTCCTGTCTTACTTTTGCAGCATGAAGGTCCCTCCGAGGACCTGGAGAGCTTGTGAATTGTTATGTTCACCTGCACAATTTCCAGTCATGACCAGTCAGAACCCAAGCCATCACCATTCAGGGGTAACCATCTTGCACACCTGAGAGCAACTGAGAGTGGAAGAAAAACCCACCCCCTGCTGACCTGCCACTCTCTCCTCCTGGGTCTTACCCTATTAGTCTTAGTCAAAGTATCAAAATGCTTGATAAACCTGCTCCCTAGCAACAGGGGGATCAGACACAAAGCTTTCCCAGGACCCAGGTACGAGGGGATCCTTTCATAGGCCTGCCTCTGTAGCCTGGGCTCCTCCTGAGGATCCTGAAACCCAGGCAAGGGAAAGGCCCAAGAGGACAGCAGCACTTGCATTTGCCTGCTTTGGGGTGGAAGAAAAAGGAAAGGTGGGCCTACCAAAGCAAGGACCCTCCTTAGCCACTCCTGACCTAGGGAACACTCCTGTTAAGGTGCCACATGCTCCATTTCCTTGACAGCTCAAGAACACGGAATATGTCTAAGAGCAAGGGGCATAGGGAGAGGGTGGCCACATGCTGCTAGAGGCTACTGAGCTCTTTCATTTCTCAAGGCCCTGTAAGCAACTGCCTTGAGGTATAGTAAGTGCTCAGTAAATCATTTTGGTGATGACAGTGAGCTCACAGAGAGACCGTTTTTTACAAAGAACAGGAATCAGCTCTGCTCAGATAGCAGCCGGCATATGGCACCAGCTCCCCCTGGCGGATGGAACCAGAGCGGCAGGAGCAGCACCAAGCCAGGCAGCCCTGACAGGCTGCTTGCTCAGGGGTCCCCCAGAGACAACCTGAAAGCAAAGAGGAAGCAGCCCAAGAAAAGGATGTAGAGAAGCCAAGTGCGTGCTGGGAATGGCAGGTACCTGTGCCATAGTCGATGCGCGTGGAGTTCCCCACAGACTCCTTTAGGTAAACCGCCACCTCAGGCACAGCAGCTGCCAGATGGGTGGGGACCACTGTGGCCACCAAGTTTTCTGCTTCCTGATAACACAAGAGACACAAATGGTGACAGCAGATTATGCAGCATCCTGGTAGGTAAACGCCCAGGGCAGCATCTGGCTGGGACCCAGGCTGCTATGCCAGGCGGCCTGGCTCCCTACTCTGGCCACAGAAGGAAGAGAAGGGAGGGCATTTATTCTTACACAACAGAGACTACCCTGGGGTGGCTTTTTATTTGCTGACCCTTCCTCCATGTGGCAAGGTTCTGGGGGCAAGACAGAAGGGATCTGAAAAGAAGCCATTCAACTTTCCCATCTGGTAACTCATCCACATCCCCATAGATGTCATCTTTCTTCATACTCCCAGCAAGGGAGTTTGTGCCATATGTCCACCAAAAGACGTATGCAAGGACGTTAATAGCAACATTTTTACAGTAGCCAGAAAGTAGAAACAATCCACAACTGAAATGTCCATCAACAGTAGAATGGGTAAATTGTGTTAGGTTCCTACAGTGGAATACTATATGGCAATGAAAAGGCCTGCTGCTATTCACAACAAGGTGGATGAATCACATGGACATAATGTTGAGTAAAAGAAGCCATTTATATGAAGTTCAAAAAACAGTAAAATCTATCTATGGGACAGAAATCAAAAGAGTTGGGGAGATACCAACTAGGAGGGGGCACAAGGGTCCAGCTTAAGTGCTGGAATGTTCTAAAGCTTAATATGGGTGGTGGGTACAAAGGTAAAAATGCACTAAGCTGTACAGCTATAATTTGTCAGCTTTAAGTTATGACTCTATAAAACTCTTAAAAAGGCAAAAAACAGCTCAAGTCCATGTGCCATCTTAGAATCCAGAGGCAGCTGGGCTACTCCTAGAGAAGTACAGCATTGTGTTCGCTTCTTGGAGCTCCCCTCGCTCCATGTAAAGAAAACACTGGACCAGAGAAATTAGAACCCAAGCTCCTTTAAGCTCAGTGTGTGGACACCTGGCATGAGAATCTCCTGGAGACCTGGTGAAAATCTGGACTCTCCGACCCCACTCTGGACCCATAGACTGCTTTTCTAAGGACGGGGTTGTGATCCGGCATTTTGTTTGTTTGCTTTGAACAGGTATTGCCTTTGTATGATTCAAAAATGAACACATTATAAAAGGGATGCATTGAGAAGTCCCACTCCACCCTTGTCCCCATCCACCCTCCTCTCCCCTGCCCCCAAAAAGAAACCACAGCTTTACTTGCCTTTTGTGTATCCTTCCAGTGATGTTTCTCTATGCAAATTGAGCAATACACACATATGCTTTTATTCCTCCCTCTTTCTAACCAAAAGGCAGCTTGCAATGTGCATCATAGGCCTGGCCGCTCTTTAACCTGTCAGTATCGCAGTCCCTTCCCGAGTTCCCTAATCGGACTCCTCATCTTTCGTACAGCAACACAGTGCTTCATCGGTGGATACACCAGTTTATTTAACGGATCCCCTGCAGATGGACACCTAGGATGTTTCAGTCAGTTGCTAATAGAAATAGTGACCTACTAAACAGCCCTATGCAGGGCACTATGCATCCGCATGTGATTCCCAGAAGGCTGAATGCATTAGTACTTTGAGTAAACGGAGCTGACATTTAACAAACTCCCGGCAATTGATATGCCTGAAAGCTCCCCTAGCCCAGCCCCCAAGCCTGTCTGTGGCAGCCTCACCTGGTCAAGTTTGGCATACCAGGTCCTGTAAGCCTTGTTCCCAAATCGAGAGGGCTGGTCCATAGGAGGAGTCTCATCAATCCACCTGTCCAGAGTGTTGAGAAGAGCAACCAGTTTCTCAATGGCCTGTGGAGGCAGAATAGAGGCAGCCAAGGCACAATGACAACCTGGAGGCACAGAGGGAAGTCTCAACTCTTGCTGAACAATTACCCCAAGGCATGGTGCTAACTGGCATCCTCCCTGTTGTCCCCCTTTCTTCCCAACCATCCTGAATATGGAAAAGAGGCCAGGCAAGCACAGTGAGCTTTACAGAATGGGGCCAGCACTGGGCTGAAAGGACAAGTGTGGCTTGGGCAGCTGGGGTCTCTAGCTAGCCTGGAGGAGCTGCTGGACAAGCAGGAACTGCAGGCCTAACCTGCCACAGTAGGAGCAGTGGGGCCTCCTATTTAGATCACAATACCTCCTCACCGTAGAAAACAGGTGTGGAAGGGGGAGAAAACAAAAATGACCAGTGGCCCTGCAGCCCAGAAATGAACATTATTGACATTTTAACATGCTCTTCAGTTTCGTCTTTTTCTAGTGTTTTCTGTTGCTTATCATGGTGACAATTCTGAAGGCAGCTAAGACATCATTTAGTTGCCACAGACTTTGAGCCAGTGACTTTTAACTCTCTGTGCCTATTTCTTCATCTAAAAAATGGGCATGATGGGCCTGGCCAGCATGGCTCAGCAGTTGAGCATCGAACTAGGATCCAGGAGATCACGGTTCAATTCAGGTTGTGGGCTCGATCCCCAGTGGGAGGCGTGCAGGAGGCAGACGATCAATGACTCTCTCATCATTGATGTTTCTCTCTCTCTCTCCCTCTCCCTTCCTCTCTGAAATCAATAAAGTTATTTTTTTTTAAAAAAGGGCATTGCCCAGCTGGGTGTGGCTCAGCGGTTGAGCATCAACCTAGGATCCAGGCGATCAGGGTTCGATTCCCAGTCAGGGCACATGCCCGGGTTGCGGGCTGCAGCCAATCAATGACTCTCTCATCAATGATGTTTCTGTCTGTCTGTCTCTCTCTCTCTCCCTTTCCTTTCCTCTCTCTGAAATCAATAAAGATATATTTAAAAAAATAAAATAATAAAATAAATTAAAATTTAAAAAAAAGGGCATGATGGTAAATGCTTCTCGAGGCTGTCATGAGGACTAAATAACAGCCCATGAGGGACGCCCAGTGCAGTGCCTGGCACAGGGTAATGTGTGTGGTTACACGCCAGACTCTAAACACAGATCACAGGGCGCACGCTGCTTCACAGCCTGTTATTTCCCCATGAGCCTCACTCCACATCAACACATAAACATATTTTACCATCGCCTCTAATAAGTGACTAAGACGCCCTTGTACAGTGAACTACAATTTATTTACCGAAGCCCTTCCTGTTAAGTGTTTGGGTTATTTTCAATTGTTCACGACCACAAACACCACTGTGATACACAACATGGCGACTCGTCCTGTGCAAAAATGCTTGGTCAGGGCATGAACATGGGAAATGCTTTGTGGGCTGCCGGTATTCGAGATCCCATCCCTCATCTCCACCTTTGCCACAGAAGGCGAGGTTTAAGGAGTGGAATTGGTTTCACAGGCCATGGCAACACGAGCACCAAATGTTACTCAGTGAGGAAATGAGGTGAGGCTGTCACTCCAAGACACAGGTCTGTGAGGATGGTGTGAAAGCACTCCTCCCAAGTACAGCAACAGAAATGGGCCAAATGGGAGCCAACCAAAGGCTCAGGGAGCACATGATGCAGAGGATATCTGAAGTCAGGTGGCCCTGGGAGAAAGGACCCTGCCAAGAAGCAGATCATGGCTGTTTACTGGGCACAAATGGACTAAGGAGACGCTTCCAGGGTCTCCTGGCCCTGGTAGGAACTTTTGTGGGTGGAGCCCACAAGAAAAGCTGTGACAAGGAGGGCAAGGCACGGTCGGGTATGCCATGCAGAGACACTTCCCAAGACCTGTGTAGGTACTGGGGGGACGGGCTTGAACTCAGGGTACACGTCAGCCAGTGCCCCCACTGCACAGCCCCACTAGGTCCACATAAGTAGTGCCTCCTGTCAAGTGTGCAACATGACAACGGCCCTCACCTCCCGTTCTTCGTGCTCGAGGCCTGGGAGTAGGAGAGATACCTGTAGAAGCCAGAGCTCCCTCAGTACATGGCTGAGGCAGAGGGCCAGGTGACAGAAACCTGCCTTGCTGAAATGCGGCAGAAAGTGCTGTCAGAGCCTGGCTCTGTGAAGAACCAGGTCACCAGGAGAACTGATAGCAGGGACAGAGTTCATGTAGCAACTGGGACTTAGGAGGATGGTGCAATAATCTGGCCCCAGGAAGCACCACCAAGGCCCCTCCGGGGCTGTCTGTCCTTGGTCATACGCTGAGGACGATCAAGAAGGTGCTCTGCCCGGCCGGTGTGGCTCAGAGGTTGGGCATCGACCGAGGATCCAGGAGATTGCGGTTCGATTCCGGGTCGGGGTACATGCCTGAGTTGAGGGCTTGATTCCCAGTCGGGGGCATACAGGAGGCAGCTGATCAACGGCTCTCTCATCACTGATATTTCTATCTCTCTCTCCCTCTCCCTTCCTCTCTTTGAAATCAATAGAGATATATTTAAAAAAAAGCAAAACAAAAGAAGGTGCTCCCAGCCCACAGCAGCCAGGCCCCAGCTGCTAGCTCTGCTGCACCATGAATAATTAAAAGGCTCCTCGCTCCCCTTTCTGCAGAGGATTTTTTAATTGGGGGGAGTGGGGGCTGCCTCTACTCTTTGGCTGATTGAGGTACAAGGTAAGAGGAGAGGGAGCTGTGGGCTGGAACCCGGAAACACCAATACTTTGAGCGGCACTCCTCCCTAGGCCAACGCTTCCTTTTTGGATTCCAGTTTTTAATTTTGCCCTCATTTTAAAAATCAAACAGAGCAACAACAACAAAAAATAAGCCTCCTATCTACTAACATCTTATTTGGCAAAAATCAAAAGTTCTAACCCCCAAAGAGGACAGACATAATCTCAAAATGAAGGACAGCCTTCTAATGACGGGTTGAGACCCCTGCTTGTTCCTTTTGCTGTGCGCAGTCTGGCAGCAGCCCCCCAAGGCCACTGTGCCCTGTCCCCAGCTGCAGCTGCCATTCCTGAGGTAGGAGGCAGCAGTGAGAAGGATCAGGAAACCCAAGTCAAACCAAGCAGAAGACAGCTGTGTGGTATGAGAGAACAGGGGTCCCTTCCCAAGCTCCAACTCCACCCTGTCGGTATATAAAGAAGGCCATTGGTAAGTGTACTGTGGGAACTTGGAGCCTGGCCAGCTCCTCAGTCAAGGGATGGCCTAAAAGAAACTGCTCCCAGATGCGAGCCCGGACTGTAAACAGCTGGCATTCTGGTCTCACAAAGCTTGCTATCCACCCTGTCTGCTTTGTTTCCTGCACTCTATATAACCCCGTATTAACAAAGCCTGTGTTGCAGGGACTTCACTGGCAGGCCAACCCTGACGCGCATGGAAGTCCTAATAAACTCATCTTTCGCAGCCAATCCTCTGGGTTATTTCTTTGCAATCGGCAAGCAATCCGCTCAGGCCTTCTCAGACCTCGGCTCTTTGCACAATACAGCTCCCATCTGTGGGCCAAGGCCATCTGCTGTGAGCCGTGCCTCCTGCTGCCCCTGCCAGCTTTGGGCAGAATCTGGGACACCTCTGGAGACTAAACCAGTCACCTCTGTGCACTGAATGAGGAGCAGCCCACTGCCCCGGTGCTGGGATGAACCCCAAGCTCAGGAAGAGCCCCCGCTAAAGCAACAACACTACTGGAAATGAGAATTGCAAAAGAGCTGGTTAACAATAGCTAACAATGACAATGTTACGGGCCAGGCACTGTGCAAGCACCCTGCAAGTGGGAGGATCTCAGCAGATCCTCCCTAGGGGCCACAGGGAACAAGGCCATTCAGCTCAAAAGTAAGGGCTATCAAAACCCACTCAGCCTGATTCCAGGACTCAAGCACTTAACCCGCTGCTATTCTGCCAGAACAGCTCCTGCACTGAGGCAACACCTGGTTGGTGTGGACATAAAAGCCTCAGGGGCACGTAAGGGGCCCCGAGAGGAGTCTGGTAGCTCAGAATCTGCTGGGTAATTACAACATTCCCCTTTAATTAGCCTCCCCACCACATTCTCCAGCCCACTGAGCACAGCAGAGCATCTTTTCCACAGGCTCAAAGAAGAGTGAGCCCTCTCTCCCACCACCACACCAGGGGCTAAAGTCCCAGAGCGCTGGGTGGGCCTGAGAGGAACTCAGGAAGTCACTGGTGGGCCAGCTCCCAAGAGAAGACTGGCAATCCCCAGCACAGGCCTGCCTCCCACAAGTGACAGAAGAGGACCTTGGCCACCCAGCAACCAGTTAGGGTCCAGGAGTATGAGGCTAATGGGGCACTGAGAGCCTCAGGACAGGTGGAGAGGGGCCAGGGCAAGGCCAGCCTTACTCAAGAGGCCGAGGCTATGGTTAGAGGGCTGGGTGAGACAAGGTACTGAGGGAGGTTCCTCAGGCCCTGGTGTCTCAGATAAGAGGGTCAAAGTGGTTCTGGGCCAACTGGGACAGGAATCCAAGAGGCCACTGGAGGTCTGGGACCAAGCCCTGGACGATGGCATCCAGCACAGCAAACAGCTTGCAAGACCACACCTTCCCATGGGTATTAGCCTCTCCACAGCTCTCACCCTCCCTCCACAAACAAGCGTGTCTCTGAAACACAGCCAAAGAGCACCCACCTAGCAGGGTGCCCTTCAACTCAATTTCCACTCCTGGGGCTGAGTCCTTAGGAATCAGACTGCCTGTCCAGGTGCAAGGACATTCAGAGCAGCAATGTTTAGGAAAGCAACCTAAAAGTGTACAGTTAGGGGGTTGTTTAAACAAATGAGGCATGGCTCAACGAGGCAGTCATGTACATGGCAGGAGAGGAGGAGCTCACAGGGCAGGTCTGGATGGCACTCCTCAAACTGTTAGCAGTCAGGTACAAGTGGGAGAGAGCGAGAGGTCAGCTTTGTGCTAATGTTATACACTCTTCTGTCAGTCTCTCTTCAGTGAGCACATTTATTTCTTTCGCGATCTCTTTCAATTTAAAAACTTACATAAAGATGCCAGTTAGCAAACATGCAGGCTATAAAATGTTACATTTACCTTGATCCCAGTGTTCTATTCACAGATTTTTTAAAAAAAAAAAAAGAAATACAGACACAAAAATGTCAACAGCACGTGTTTGGGTGATCTGACTTTCCGCACCTGCCCTACTGTGGGCAATGTGCTCACATGACTCCACGGAGCTGTTTCTGGAAGGCCCTGCACAGCAGGCTCCCTGCCCAGGCCTACCTCAGAGACTCTGTACTCGAAGGTCAGCTTCTTCCCCTTCACACCTTCGTTGAGGGTGAGGATGAATCCAATGTAGTCAGCGTACGCCTACCAAACAGAGAGGGCGGTGGGGGCGGAGAGGGCTGTCAGACCCCCACTCTCTCTATGCCCCAGCCAGCCCCAGCTCCCCCCAGGTACCAGATGCTCCAAACTGTCCCTGGCTCCCACCCCGGTAGCAGGAGCAGGAGAAAGATAATGTCAAATACCCCACCTCTACCCTCCAGCTAACACCACAGGCAAGCCAATGACACCTGGGCCTCCAGCCAGAATTGACTGTGTGCTCACTTCTGCTACCAGCAGTTTCTTCACACAACTACCCACAAGCTAGACACTATCTATCACTGACCCCATTCTACAAATGAGGAAACCAAGGCTTCAGGAGAAGGGACTTGCCCAAAGTCGCCTAAGACCAAGATCTTATTAGATGTGGAGCAGGACCCAGCCAACCAAACTCCAAAGCAGAGTCACCGAGTATTCGACCATTGTACTGTGCCACCAGGGGTCCAAGGAAATCAACAAGGGCCCTCTCCTGCTAACCTTCCAGGTGTTTCCTCACCAGGCTGTCTGCCCGAGGTGCAGATGCCCTGCTCCCAGGAGAAGAAACTGTTGTCTGCCCATGGTCAGGTCTCCCAGCACACCCACCCCCAGCTTCCAACTGGGCAACCTCTTCCCTGCTGGGCTGCAGGTTGCACCCAGCACAGGGATACAGCAGCCCTGGGGTGCAGGCCCTGGAGAGGTAGCTCCTGGGAACAAGTGACTTCCGTTTAGGCTTGTTAATTTCTCATCCCTTTGCCCCTCACTCTCTTCCTTCCTTCTTATCCAAGCCTAAAGGATGCCAGACTTAGATGGCCCTGAGAACCAACCACTCAGTACCTAGAAGAGGTATTCCTATAGCAGATCCTCCTGCAGCCCATGGGATGGCTGCAAGTGGGAATGAGAGGTCACAGTGCAGGCCCCGGGGGTCACCTGCAGCAACTCTTCCAACCCAGGGCAAGTCTGACTATGTCCAGTGTCCACAATTACCCTGCAAAGCACACTGGGATAAAGGAGAAGAAACAGCAAAGGGCAGCGTCACCCTCCACAGTCCCTGCTCCCACATGGGTCTGGGTCTACTGGTGGCTGAAACTCAGGACATTCTTATAAACGTGACTGTGCAAAGTCTCTACCAATGCCACATCACCATCATCATCGTCATCACAGCAGTAACAATCACACCTGCTGTCAGCAAGGCTCACTGTGTGCCTAGCACAGGGCCAGGTGCTTATGGGCTTTACATCAGTTAAGACTCTAAACTGCCCCATTTCATACAGAGGAAACCAAGGCTTGACCAGGTAGACAACTTGCTTAAGTCACAAGAAGAGAAGACGGCAGCCCTGGGCTTTGAGCCCTGGCCCCTTGGCCCCCAAGCCTGTGCTCTTGGCTACTGCACTCTGCTGCCTAGTGAAACACTGTGGGCCACAGTACAGAGCCACCCATCTGGCCACAAGAGGTCCACGCCCTTCACTGATAAGCTCTAGCAGGTATCGTTCAACATGCACATCAGGAGAAAAAGTGACTGACGCTGCCCCAAAAGCGTTGGTGCCTAGAGCAGGACTGGCAAACTATCTGCAATGGGTCAGATAGTAAATAGTTTAGGCTACACGGGCCACACAGTCTGGTTCATATTCTCAACTCTGCCCTTGTAGGGTGAAAGCAGCACATACAGCAGGTAAACAAATGAGCGTGGCTGTGCGCCAATAAAACTGCATTTACAAAAACAGGTGGAGGGAGATTAGTCAAGTAGGCACTAATCTGCCGACCTGTGACCTAGACCAATGTAAGCACACAGACTCCTCATGGGAAACCTGCAAGCTTGCCAGAACTCCCGAGCCTGTCCTTCTCTACAGGTGACCAGACCAGGTGTAATGTAGGCACCTGGCTGGAGCTGGACCCAAGGCCTTCCCTGGGAATTTGAAATTGGCTTTCTTTTTCTTGGCCCATCTTTCTACAGCCTGACCATAGCCTGGGAGGCTGTGTTCTGCCCACCACGTGGCCTGAGCAGCAGAGAGCTGGTCCACACCAATAGTACTCTAGGGCCTGGTTCCAGCTATGTGTAGGCTCAGCCACTTCCCTGGCGTAGGTTTTCACGCGATAACCTCCACTCCCTCTGACGCACTGACTCCTCAACTTGCTGTTACTTGTAACCAAGAATCAAAGTAACACACTCCATCATTCAGGACACTCATGCTCAGCCAATACAGCATCCAGGGGTGATGGTGCATGAGAACCAGAAGCACAACTCTGAGGGCCCAGCCCCCAGAGATCTTCCCACTGAAGCATCTCGGAAAGTTGCCCGACAGGCAGGGGCAGTCATCTCCTCTGTCACCTCCCTCCCTAGCTTCTGAAAGCTGTGGCTCCAAGGGCAAGAAGAGCCAGGAGCTCACAGCCTATCATGCCTAGAAAACCAGTGTCTTTGAAAAAGCCCAAGTTTCTTCTCCCAGCTCTTACCCTACAGTGTAGACACCACTGGTACCTGAGAACGCTTCCATTTGCCCATGTCCGGAACCGTGTGGATCTCCTTTTTTGGAATGATAAAGTTCTGAGTGGCTGGAGGGGTGTCCTCCGAAGAATCTTGACAACGAAAATGAAAAAGGAAACATAAATAGAACAGACCCCTTCCCAATACACACACACTTTTAAACCAAGACTCCAGCACCCAAGCCCTAGTGTAAAGCACATACACACTCCCAGGACAGAGTACTGGCTTGTTAAACCAAACCCACTGGCCTCTGGCGGCTCCGTTCTCTGCAAGAAAGATAAGTATCAGTTGTCGAGGAAGAAGTGCCAGGAGACCTGGAGACATAAGGAGTAGGATAGAGAATCCTAGATAACAGCAAAATAAACCTCTGCCTAATTCAGAACTCAAACCAGGGCCCAAGAAAGAGACCAGACACTCTCCTCCTCCTCCCACCTGTTCTGCAAGCCCAGTTCCCAGAACCCAAATTTGAGACCCCTACTATTAGTAAATGCTGTCTTAAGTAAGATGCTAAATAAAAAGCTCTGTAGGTCAGGCTGGTAACCCAACCACACTGTGTTTATGGGAAAATGTGTTTGTTCCACATCCCAAATAATCAAATCGCAAGTGATCCCTGGGAACAGAGCCCTTTCATACGTTGGAGAGAGCTGTTCCCTGCAAGGGGACCGCCCTCCCGATGTTATTCCACAGAGAGGAGAACCCCCAGGCAGGCCCTGCTACCCGGGGAAAGGCTGCCCTATAGGAAGCACCACAACACAGCACTGACCACCAGAACACAAAATCCCAGATCAGAAAATGAGCCTTTCAAACTCAGGACGGTGATCACTGAGTCAGACCCACAGCCTCTCCAGCCTCGAGATTCTGCCTCTGACAGAGGGACCACCCGACAGCTGGATCCCCTAAAAGCTCAGTGTAAGATGGAAACGTCCAGAGTTTTAGAGGTGTTCCTAAAAGCCCCAAAGAGTATAATGTAGTGTCATCTACCATCTGGGGGACCAGCCCGCGTTTTCCTCTTGTACCACCTTTGAAAAGGGTAACAGCAGCTCACATCACTTAACTGCCACCTCCCGCAGGCTGCCCGCGCCGCCTGTGGAACCCACACCACAGCTCTGTGAAGGTGGAGCAGCCCCATTTTAAGAAACAGCAGAATTAGCCGGGCGGGGAGAGGCTGGCGGGCTGAGCATTGACCATGAACCAGGTCACAGTTGGATTCCCAGTCAGGGCGCAGGCCCGGGTTGCGGGCTCCATCCCCAGTGGGGGGCGTGCAGGAGGCAGCCCATCAATAACCCTCGTCATCAATGTTTCCACCTCTCTCCCCTTCTCCCTCCCTCTCTCTGAAGTCAATAAAAACATATTTAAAAGGGAGAGAGAGAAACAGGGCAACAGGCCCACAGAGCTGACATTGCTGGGCAGAGCCAGGTCTCGACTCCCAGGCCCCAGGTTCTCACCACTGCAGGCGCGGGTTTGGGTCCCTGCACTGGCCTAGTTGGAGCCTAGTTGGAGCCTCCAAGGGCCGCGGGGGGCTCCTGGGCGGTCCCAGCGGGCTGACTGCGCAGGGCTGACCCCCGCCTCTGCCCCAGGCCAGNGGCCCCCCCCCCCAGGGGCGCCTTCCTGAGCTCGGTGCCTGCTGCCTCCACGTCACCACCAGGGCCTCCCCGGGAGCCCGCTCGCAAGTTTTGTGCGAAACGAAGTAACTGTCTGGTCTCCAGCGCCCCACGGGACCGCCCCAGGTCTTTGTTCACCTATATTTGGGGTCGGGGGGCTCTTTTGGGGTCGGGGGGCTCTTTTGAGCTCCAAAATTGCTGACACCTTCCGGGGACCCTAAAATGTAGGGGGAGGGTAGAAGGAACATCAAATGCTTCCCAGCGCGAGCTGGGTTTGGCCAACCCCTCGG